GGGAAGGCACTCTGGAGCCAGACAGACCTTAGTGTAAACCCCCAGCTCCGTCCCTTAGGCATAACTTTGGGCAAGTTCCTTAACCAGCCAGCCTCGCTTTGCTCACCCATGATGGAATCCACATCCCCTGGGCTGGAGAGATCAAGACAGGCAGTCACGTGGCGTCCTTTGCCCTTGTCTCTGGTTTTCCTGGCCAAGACTCTTCTCTTTAGGTGGGTCTTTCCTCTTCTTCCTGGTGTCCACCCAAGAAGCACATTCCTGGAGGAAAGGATCTAGTGTCTGCTGTCTATACCTTGGATAATACTTATTTGCATGCCTTTCTGGGGTGTATTTGCATTGTAAAGATTCCATGTTTATCTGTGCAAGGCAGGGCAGCTACTGTTAAAGGACTTTCAGGTCTCCTTTGACAGGTCTTGTCATTTCTGGAGACTTATTCCTGGGAGGTATGGAACTGGCAGGAGTCCCTGGGGGGCCAGAATGGTTAAGCATGTGGCTACTAACCAAGAAATTTCACTACTAACTACTAATTTAACTATTAACCAAGTATGAGACAGATTCTGTCCTTGAAGTTGGTGGTTCGAACCCACTCGGAAGAAAGGCCTGGCAATCTGCTTCTGAAAGGTCACAGCTGTGAAAACCCTATGGAGTACAGTTCTACTCTAAAGCACATGGGGTCGCCATAAGTTGGAATTGACTCAGTAGCAACTAGTTTGGTTTTTTGGTTTGGTATGGAAGTGGCAACATTGAGTCTTGAGTCCCGGCACCAACAGTTGCTCCCGAGGACAGAGCCTGCCCTGCCCCACACAGTTTAATTGCCCTCCCCTGTACCCACCCCCATGACTACTGAGCACTTACTCGCTGCATACCTGGTGCTAGGGGAGAAGGAACCTCCCACTCTAATGGGAAGACAGACGTGGGTGACTGGAAGGTTAAGCAACTGTGGCTCATGGGATGTTCTCATAAAGCAGATTTATTATTATTATTTTTTCTGCCACTCTCCTTTATATTTTTTCGGTAGGTTTTACTTCTCCCCTGACAGGTCTCAGCATTTTCTGACCAATCTTAGGTTAAAAAACAAAAAAACTATATGATTACTTTTAAGTCACAAAACAGTCTCCATTCATCAAGTAAAATGTTCGGTCCCAAGTAAAAATAAAATTTCAGAACTTGAATAAAAGTTGAGGCTTCTTTCTCTTATGGCCGGCATCTGCTGCAAGTGGGGGACCCAGGCTGTCTTTGCTAGACTGGGGTGAGGATACACATGGTGGGGCGTTTCAGGTGGAGGAGTCGTTTAAGCAAAGGGATGAAATAGCATCCATCACTTGGTCAGTGTTTTAAGAACAAAATCTGTCTTATACCTGTTGGCGTAAGACCCCATGTTGCTCAGTGTGGTGGTGGAGAGAGAACAGGTGCAGAAGGTAGGGGAGGTGAAGCTGCAGAAGGCCACAAGCACCTTGCAGGTCTAATCAAGGACCTTCTCCAGGAGTTTCTGAAAGTCCCCGGCCCTCATTTGCGGACCATGACTTAGGGCTGGTTACGTCTACGAAGAGCCGGTCTCATCTCTTACACCTCGTGAGTCTTCCAGATTC